ATTACATCATGAAAATTGGTTTTACTTCAAAAACCTCAAGTTTTTATTACACCTTGAAACAAGAGCAGTAATAATGCATGATTACCCATAATGCATCAAACCTTTGTTCCTGTGCACTTTTGTGTCCCAAACATGTTTCCACCATGTTGGCAGGGCATGAAAAATGTATCTGAGCTAAACTAAATAAAAATAAATTGCATAAATAAAATGATTCTCTCCCCTTTACTAACAATACACTTATGTCACAAAAAAAATCATTTTCCTTTGATTTCCAGAGAGTTCCACAAATGTTTTGTCACAATCGAGAATATTCTAGAGCTACTTATAGTACAAATTATACCTTGAGAGCCTGTTCTGGTGTCAGCTTGGGATCTATGTGTATTTCCTCCTTGAGTGTGGTCCACATTTTGGTTTCAGCTTCAGCGCGATGCTCTATGTCTAGTATGAGGAAGGCAAGCCAACCAAAAGCCTCAGGAGTGGCCATACGCTCTATGAGGGACGGGATCATTGTACAATTGCTCCCCGATGACATCCAGTTGACCAGAGTGGACATGGCCCCCTGCTGGGCACTCTCCTTGTAGTGGCTCTGGAAAGTCTCCTGGAACGCCGGCTGTATCAGCTCCATGCCGACCTTGTGAGTGAAGGCGACCTTCACCAGGTTATCCAACAAATAGCAGCAATTCCTGTACATACAAAACGTATTCCAGTCAAAATCCTGTTGCAACAATCAAAGATTCTTTCTGTAGAACGAAATTCTGGTGATAAAAAGGAGGATAAACTCAAACATTTTTTTTTTGTGAATGGATAGATATACTGTTAAAATTTACTGTACAGAAAAGCTTTCTCATCTTTTCTCATGCAAATGATCATTCATCTTTTCTCATGAAAATAATCCAGAATACCTATTTCCATGCATAACAGAGCCACTAAAGTTAACACAGTTTTCAAGGATTCATAATCTGCATCAACAACATGGTTTAACTCATTCAGCCCTGAATTTTCATAATGAACTATTCCAACCTTTGCATTGGAAGAGTTCAAAT